TATCTCAAGTTAGACTTTTAAATTTGATCCCATGCTTTGGTTTATAAAACACTGGGTTTACAACTGTATCGATTGTTAAGGATACTCTAAACCAGGGGTTCCCAATTAATTTTTCATGTGTATGTGCCGGTGTGTGTATCTTACACACAGATACACACACACACACATACTGGCACATAGTGGCACACAGATACACACACCTTGATACAGTGTAAATCTGTGTATCAAGATGTGTGTATCTGTGTTTGTGCCAGTGTGTATGAATGTGACACACAGATACACACACTCTGGCAGATAGTGGCACACAGATACACACACCGACACAGATACACACACCTTGACACACAGTATGTATCTGTGTGTCAAGGTGTGTGTATCTGTGTTCGTATGTACCGGTGTTTGTCAAGGTGTGTATCTGTGTTTGTATGCGCCACTTTGTCTCTGTGTGTATGTATCTGACACACACACATACACACATACACACACACTGGCACACAGATACACCCTGACACACATCATGACACACAGTGACATATACCCACGCTTGCACCCACAGATACACACTGGCACATACACACATACTCTTTGATAGACACACATACATTCTCACTGACACATATACAATCTCACTGATAAGCACACATGCACTCTTACTGACAAACAAACATATACTCTTTGACAGACACACAAACAAATATAAACTCACTAACAGACACACATTTTTTATTTATTTTATTTTACTCCACCCAGCCCCCCCTACCTTTAGGAGTGCTGGCATGGAGTCCCTGGGGTCCAGGGGGGCGGCTGGCGTGATGAGCGTGAAGTCCCTGGGCTCCAGTGGGGCTGCTGAGCGGCTGGCGTGCAGGTGGGGAGGGATCAGTGATCTCCCTGCTCAGCTCCCTTGCTTAGTGTTGCCGGAGTGACGTCATATTCCAGCTCCAGCATGACTGCTGTGCGAGTGAGCTAAGCAAGGAGATCACTGCTCCCTCTGCCATTTTATTTTTTTAAACTGTTGGCGGAACCCCAATTGGTGTTCTGCAGAACCCCAATTGTGAAACGCTGCTCTAAACACAATGCTTGTCTGCGCTCATTTGCACGTCATGCTTTGAACTCTGGGATTGTTGTGGAAAACCAATTTCTCAAGTTTCTGTGCCCGATGGGGACTTCCCAAAGTCCATATATACGTATATTGAACATAGATGTATCTTCTTCTTCTTGCCCTTTTTGCATGTCTTTCATTCTTGCCTGTTAATGTTTTTTGGGACAGGTTTGTGAGCTCCTTGTAGTGAGCATGTCTGCCATATCACCTTATTTGAACCAAACTTTAGCTGTGGGAATGGGAGCTATAGAACAATTATCTATGCAAACAATCAGCCCTTTGTGCTTTTACAGTCCATTACTTAAGCCCGACTAAGGGAAACACAACATAAAATGCATGTGCTGGTTAGCATCCAGAAACTGTGTTTAGTACTACACAATGCCTGGGCTGGGGAGGGGACAGCTCTGTGCCCCCTTGTGCTTTTTGTAATTCCAAAGGTTAGAACAAAGGCATTAGATGCATTGCTTTAAATCAGGATTGGCAAACTGCAGCAGTATTAACTGTGGATTAAAACTCCCATGATCCTTAGTCACCCTGAGGTCATAATCAGAATTACAGCTCATTGTAAGTGTAAAATGGATCACTGATTGTCTTAATGCTTTAGACATGTGTCTTCAGGTTTCTGCACCACCTCATGGCACTTTAAAAGCTATCTAACATCTTCAACTGATATTTTTTTTCAATTTCTTAAAATATAATTTAAAAAAAGAAGCTAAATTAGTTATAGTTAATATCTAATCATATTACACAGCTAGCACACAACAGTTCTATGACATTGCATTTCTCTCAACATTCTTAGAGAATCTTCTGTGATGGACAGAGAGGCTTTAAAGTGAGTTTGTGTCTGCTCTGTATTGCATACCACCCAAAATTTCAAATACACAAAGAACAACACACTAATTTTAGGGGTGGAGTTTGGCCAGGGAGGGGTTGTTCTGAGAAATTTAAGGTGATTACGAAAAGTGTTTGCAATACTCTGTATATTAGTGCTGTGGTGCTCAGTATGAATTCAGACACACCAATAGCATAGAGCTCATAGAAAAGAGGAATACCTGAATTTGGTACTGCCCCTTCTAAATAGGGACACTTGAGAGGTGTGGGATTGCATTATGATTCAGCTGAAACATTACATTTTCTCTCTGTAAAGTGGCATGTTGAGATTTTTTAAGCTAATCATTTCTTCCAAGCAAATCCTACATTCTTCTGGCAGCACAGAATGTTAGCCTGCTTACTTACAGTATTTTATTAACAGTCTCTATGGTACTCCATTATCAAGGTCAAAGAAGGCCAAAGCAACAATTTTGACTCAATGAAGTAGTTTGGGTGCAGTGGCCCTGACGTTTTAACCCTGTAATGTAAAACATGTTATTACTGGCTTAAACACACCTTTAGTGGCTGTCTTCCTGAGAGCTACTAAAGGAGCTTCCTCTTTAACAACCAAGTTAACTCGGTCATGTGATGTTCGATGTACATGAGGACGCCGAACATCATCAAATACAGCTCACAGGAAAGCATTGGATTAAATGAGAAGTATTTAATTGGAGTGCAGCACATGTGCACAATGACCCCTCTAGGAGTAGTATTGGATTGGGCATTAATTGTGGAAACAACACCTCCATGATTACATTATGAGAGGAGAAGAGGGCTAAGTGAGTTTCGGTGGTGTTAAAATGGTGCTAGACTGCTAAAACCTTGGAATTTGATTAGCAGCACCTGTCTGATACTAAGCCTCATGGAAGCAGTAAGGGTGTACTTCGTTTTTCACATGTGGCTTTTCCATTTTGGCCTTATTTTTGTTAATTAATGTACACCATGCCTTGGTGTAATATATCATGTATTGTTGTCCATCTGAGGTTGTATTTACCTAATTTCAAGCTCTGCTAAGTAACAGATGTTTGTTATTATGCCCTAATATGTAAAATCAGAAAATTCAAAGAGGTGCCTTCTTTTTCCCATGGAAAGGGATGCTAATTCCCCATTGTACTACTAGTGCTAGTATCTATAATTTGTCAGTCTCCCTAGAATTAAGTGTGCTCTGCCTCTTTATAGTGCAGTGCTGGAAGGATACCCAGACAACCTGAATCTTAGTGTTTCCAGTGGAGTACCGGGGGGGGGGGGAAATGCTTCAGAGCTAGTGAGCTTGGGTGCGTTACATGAGTATCAGCAGGAGAGGAGCACTGTGCGCCCCTCATACAAAAGCCTAGGGGCAGCCTGCATACAGAGCTCAGCGGTTGTGTCCAGCCTGGGGATCTGGCTCCAAGGATAGGGGCAGGGGGGGCATCCTAGGAGTAGGGGGTATCTGAAATAGGCAAGGACTGGGTGGCATTCCATGAATTAGGGATAGAGGGTCACACTAGTGGTAGGTGGGTAGCTGCAATGGGAGGGGGCAGTATGATATTCCAGGAATAGGAGACAGGGTGGCATACTTGGGGTAGGGGAAATATATAGCATAGGGAGGAGGCAGTGTGCCAATCCAGTGATAGGGGATGGGGGCATCCTAGGGGTAGATAGTATCTGAAAGAGGGAGGGGGCATCCTAGGATTAGAGGGGCATCTAGAATACTGAGGGGCAGGGTGGAATTCGAAAGATAGGGTGACCATGATCCTAGGGGTAGGGGATATTTGAAATAGGTGGACAGGTGCAATCCAGGGATAGAGGGCAGAGGAGCATCCTAGGGCTAGAGGGGTATTTCAGTGATAGGGAGCAGGAGGAGCATTCTAGGGGTAATTTCAGTGATGGGGTAGGAGGAGCATCCTAGGGGTAAGGGGTATTCCAGTGATACGGGGCAGGGATATAAATCACATCATATCCCTGCTTCCTCTGTTCTTCAAAGAGCGACTGTCGTGGTGTGTATTGGGAAGAAGGTGTGGCAAAAGCTCTAGCTATGTCACTGAGTGTTCCATCTCCTTCTATTGCAGTGACTGGAGTGACTAAATGCCTTGCAATACAATATCATGGAGATGTCTAGTCTATGTGGAACTAATTATGTCCTAAATGGAGGGAGACAGAGCTCGCAACGTTACACCCCCACCAGCCATGGAAGAGACCTTCTACCAGAAGGAAATGAGGACCAGGATGGAATTTTTACCCCAGCCTGTACCACTGGAAATGCTGACTTTACTGATGGCGGATATGCAGGAGTATGTGATGGCACACGGACCGCAGAATTCATCCTCCAGGGCAGAATCTATTACTGCTGCAGTCAGCAACCAGGTAAAGCCTAAAATTCCTTACCATGCGTTTAAAGTGTTTTGCGAAGATGAGGACGAAATTGATGGTTACTTACAAGACTTTGAAAGGATATGTGATTTTACATGATTTGGAGCAGGCAGTATGAGTGCCGTTATTAGCAGGCAAACTGTCAGGTCGGGCAGCAGAAGCCTGTCGGGCTGTACCCAGGGAGGACAGCAAAGATTATGCCAGGGTAAAACAGGCTATACTGGAACGTTACGCCATTACCCCGGAGGCATACCGGCGCAGGTTTCGTGGATTCTCCCATGCTGAGTGGGCACACAAACTGGATCAAGCCTCCCAGGGGTGGATACAGGCCAGTCGAGCGACCACTATGGAGGAGTTGCGACAGTTGATGTTGTTGGAACAATTTTTTAATGGTCTGTCCCCCGAGGCACAAGAATGGGTGAGAGACCGAAAACCCCCTCACCCTAACAGAAGCGGCACGACTAGCTGACCAACATTATGACGCCAGAAGGCATCACGGTAACCTGAACCGGGGATACCCTCGCCCCGCCGCTTCACCTCATACAGCCACCCCTACGGCACACACAGTGGCCCCATTCAGACCAAACCCGGTGGCCCACACTCCACCATCCAGATATAATGGCAGGGCTAATATCCAGTGCCATACGTGTAAGCAATGGGGCCACATGGCGAGAGAGTGCACCCAGAATCGGAGCCGGCAAGCATGGAACCAAGTGCGGCCAAACCCAGCACCCAGAGCAGTCGCCCACCACTACCAAGCGGAACCAGCCACCCAGGAGATGCTCTGTAATCAGACAGAAGAGCCCCTGGGAATACTACATGAGGTGAGGTCAGTACAAGCCACAGACAACAGGCAACATCACCGTCAGCTGGTAACTCTGGAAGGGAAAGAGGTACAAGGGCTCCGGGATTCGGGGGCCACTCTGACGTTGGTCGCCCCTCATTTGGTTCCAGGCTCCGCACACACCGGAGGATCCATAGCAGTGCGAGTAGCAGGGGGAGCCGTATACAGATTGCCCACTGCGAAAGTACATTTGAATTGGGGTGTTGGGGAGGGGCTGGCAGAGGTGGGCATGATGCAGAAACTGCCGGCAGATGTCGTATTGGGGAATGACCTGGGCTGAATGACTTCTGCCTTTTTACCCCAGGCTCCTCTACAAGAGGCCCACCCGGTGACCACCCGGCAACAGGCTCGCACCACGGCTCCGTCCATGCATCTCTGTGGTGGAACAGAGATGTTACACCACCTATGTTATTGGCCCCTGCTCAGGGGTAGGCAAGAGACGCATGCTCCATGTGAATATGCTCAAACCCTACCATGAGAGGATAGAGGACGTGGCGGCGATATGAGCCTCAGCCTCTGAGGATCAGGAGAATCTTCCGCAACCTGACTTATTAGAGCAGGAAGATCAGGCAGAGCCCTCCACAGGTGTTCAGCTGGGGGAGCGGCTAAGCCCTCAGGAGCGTACACAGGTACGGGAGTTAATTGTGGCTAAGGGAGCCACTTTCTCCAATTTACCAGGATACACTCCGCTGGCCACTCACAGAGTTGAGACCCCTGGACAGCTGCCTATGCGGCAGACCCCCTATCGTATCCCGGAAGCAGTCCGGGAACATATGAGAAAGGAAATTGAGGAAATGTTGCAGCTAGGGGTTATTGAACATTCCGATAGCCCCTGGGCATCGCTTGTAGTGCTGGTACCCAAGAAGGATGGCACCACACGGTTTTGCGTAGACTACCGGAGGCTAAATGACAAAACAGTGTCTGTTGCCTACCCGATGCCCCGGATAGACGAGCTGCTAGACAAGATGGCTCGAGGCCAGTACCTCACCACAATATATTTATGCAAAGGGTACTTGCAAATTCCATTAGCCGAGGATGCCATTCCTAAGTCAGCGTTTGTCACCCCGTTTGGCCTGTACCAATTTCGAGTCATGCCATTCGGGATGAAAAACGCTCCGGCTACCTTTCAAAGGATGGTAGATCGGCTACTGGACGGGTTCCAGGAATATGCATGTGCATACCTGGATGATATTGCCATATATAGCCAGACGTGGTCAGATCACCTACAACACATTGGGGCGGTCATTGATCGTATTGGAGAGGCAGGGTTGACACTTAAACCCAGCAAATGTCATATCGGGATGGCAGAGGTACGGTACCTTAGGCACTGGGTAGGGAGTGGACAGCAAAAGCCTGAACCAGCAAAAATCGAGGCAGTGGCTAACTGGCCTACCCCCCGGACCAAAACCCAAGTGCTAGCCTTCCTTGGTACGGCAGGGTACTACCGAAGATTTGAACCCAATTATAGTTCTCTGGCCAAACCCCTGACTGACTTGACCCGCAAAAATCTTCCTCGACAGGTCATCTGGGCCCCAGAGTGTGATCAGGCATTCCAGCAACTAAAGACTGCTCTAACTAATGCCCCTGTACTTGCTGCTCCTGATCCAACTAAAAGATTTCTTGTTCACACAGACGCTTCAATGTTTGGATTGGGAGCAGTGCTGAGCCAAGTTGGAGCAGAAGGCGGAGAACATCCAGTAGCTTACTTAAGCCGAAAGTTATTGCCACGTGAAGTAAGCTACGCCGCCATTGAAAAGGAATGCCTGGCCGTGGTGTGGGCCCTCAAAAAGTTACAGCCGTATTTGTATGGACAACCTTTTTCCTTACTCCCAGATCACACCCCGTTGGTGTGGCTGAACCGTGTGGCTGGGGACAATGGAAGGCTGCTGCGCTGGAGTTTGGCGCTGCAGCCTTTTGACTTCACTATTCATTACCACCCAGGGAAGCAGAATGGTAACGCCGACGGGTTGTCCAGACAAACTGAACTTGAAAAATGATCTGTAAGTACTCCTCCGGACATCCCCAAGCCGATCCGTTAGGATCAGACTGTGTATGCCAGCTTGGTTCTGGGGGAGCATTGTGGCAAACCTAGCCACTTCAGATTATATGGCTGTGACATTAAAGGTTGTCCGGAACACTGCTGCACTACAATGTTTAAATGTATTATGTTTAGTGTGTGGAAATGTATGCTTGCCTGTATAACCTATAGCATTCGTATGCTAGCAGCCGAAAGCCGCTAGCATTCCCATGGTTGTTTCACGAACAGCAACTTTACCGCCTGTTCGTGAAACGAATAAAGTACCGAATGGGAGCCCACACACAGAGGGTCGTGTGGCTCCAATTAACGGATTGCAACATTGTTGCAATCGGTAGTAATTGCTTTCCTGGGTGGCCAAAGTTCGGCTACCGACCACGCGGCGGGCGGCCATCTTGGATCCTTTGTTAGTTCAGCTGTGTTTGGTCGTCGAGTGCCTGGAACTAAAATCGGCTACTCGACGGCACGAACACCGCTGGACTTCCAGGCCGTTCAGGAGCTCCGGTCTTTTAGTGTTGGGTTCCCCAATCGGTGTTCGGTACTTTTAGGTGACTGTCAAGTAAAGTATGTTTTCGTATGCCGTTCGGTTATTTAAGCTGGGATCTGAGCGGTACTCGCACGAAAGAGGTGCACAGACCCCAGCTATCTACCGAACGGTCATTCATGTTAATCATACGAATAAAGCAAAAGTTATGGATTTTTATGTTAAAAGTCGGTTCTGCTGTACGGAGGGATAATCCACTTAACAGGATATTCCAGTGGGAGTATCCCTCTCATACAGCAGTGCATGGTGGGAGAAATGTCCTGTGATTTAAGTTTCCCATGTAGTCCACTCTTGTAATACCCCTGTGATGTGACTCAGGAAACCCCTTGCATGGGGAATTGCATAAATACTGCAGCATGTGAATAAAGACCTCAGTTGACTCCCAGAACTGTGTTTCGTCCGGTTACTGGGGGGATTTGGGATATTGCCTTACTTTCCAGCGCTTTACTTTGGATTACTTTCTTAACCAGCGGAGATCGTGGGATTTAATATTGCAGCTCCGCTACAGTAAGCATAGCCAAAAACACACTCTCTCTTAAACAGAAACCATGGCAGTGCAAGGAAACAACTATATATACTGGCTTGTGATTGGTTACACAGGGCCATGATGTCACAAGTGTGTAAACATCATCAAAAAGCACCACAAAGACTGACATAAAAGGAGACCAATTGGAGAGTTCCATGTCCTATATGATATCATATATAATGCCCTTTTTTTCATCCATAGAAATGTTGTGTACCAATATGCGTTCCAGATACGTCTACTCAGTTGTGTTCCAGGTACTCAGGTCTGGTCACTGGTGCTCCATAGACATTCCACTATTATCTGTTTATCTGTTTTTGTTTGTGATTTTACTTGCCAGTATTCCACTTGTATTTAATCTTTGGTTTCTTTTTCAGGACTTTTTTTTTTTTTTTATAATTAGGTTAATCGTCTTTTACTTTTCACCAACATAATTTCCACGTGGAGTCTGCTTCCTCTCTTCCGGTGCTCTTACATCCCTAACTGTCACATACTAACAGGGTTATTTACTTAAGTGAAAATTTGAAGTGTATTTAAAATGCAAGGCCGCGGTAACTAAACAGAAAGCACAGCTTATTTAAAGATTTATTTTTTTCTCACAGTTTGGCTATTTTGATCTAAAATTTTAAATTCACCTTGAATTCTCATTTTAGTGAATAACGCTGTATATGTTACCGGATATCCCAATTTGGTCTCTCACCCTACCTTGATAATAGCCCAACCAGCTGAAGCACTATGGAGTATTGGATATTGGTGGCTGAGTCTACCCATTCCTCCTTTTATAAGCGTGCTTTTTTAGGTGGTCAGTACCCATTTATGTTTATTTATATGCTTGTTTGTTTATACTGCTTTTGGTTGTAAAGATTGAGATATATGCATGATATACCTTGTTTGTTTATTGTTAAAGCACCACTATAGTGCCAGGAAAACAAACTAATTTTCCTGGCACTATAGGGTCATTGGATCCCCCTAACCTCAGGGCCCCCCCCCCTGCTGGGCTGAAGGGGTTTAAACCCCTTCAGCCACTTACCTTTCTCCAGCGCCAGGCTCCCTCGGTGCTGGGGAACTCTCCTCCCGCACATTCAAACCGCCCATAGGAAAGCATTACTGAATGCTTTCCCATGGACGTCCAGAGTCTTCTCACTTCGATTTTAACAGTGAGAATCGCAGAAGCGCCTCTAGCGGCTGTCAGTGAGAGGTCTTGGTGCATATAGTGGTCCTTTAAAGTTAGCTATAATAAATTAGTATTCACTTGTGGTTTCTTATATCTTGCACAAAATAATTGGATTATTATTTGTGATTTTCTTTTTTTAGACTATAGCTTAAATGTTAATACATTTTATTTATTTTCAATAGTTTCATGTGTGCACCTCTGATACATTATATACAGTATTTTAGTCTTGTTGGAAACTGGGCTTTTTGGAGTTTGGACATTATTTTTTTTAGTTTGCTCTGTTACCTTCTACCTCTGACCCACCTTTTATGCTATAAGAGAATGTTCACCTTTTTGCTGTTTACCATTCTATTATTTACTTTAGGATATGTAAAAGAAAATAATGTATATAGTTCTTGGCATACTGTGTTGATAGATTTTTATGGATAACATTTTAAGAACAGATATTTTGGAGGCTCGAATTAATGTTTTTCCATTAATCAGAATTTAAAGTAAAAATGCAAACTATAATTATAAGTAGTAAAAAAAAAAAAAAAACACATCAGAAAATAAAATAAAATAACTCAAATTCACTTCTATCTGACTCAATTCATAGGCAAATATGATGATACCTGCATGTTTACACCACACCGTTACCTGTATGCTAAGCAGTCATACATGTTATTATATTGAACATTAGTTAGTGGTACTAATCTCTAAAAGGGGTTGATTTACTAAATGCTGCGACAACATATAGTCTAAAACAGCCATGTTGGGACATTGTTGTCTAAATTTTGCCAAAATTCAGTTTTTAATTAACTACAATTTTAGTGTCTGGTAAATAAGCTCAACATGTGCTATATCTATTATTAAGTAGATAGACTAAGGCTTTCTTCTTTGCAGTGTCTAGCATGTATCTGCTTCCTAACTGTATTATAGTGCAATATATCTATAGCACAATTTGTATTGAAGACATTTCAGGGTGAATACATTCTCCTAATTTACAAGTTATTATATATATTTTTAACAGAGAACTTTTTGGGGTTTTTTTCAATCAAAATTATTAAATAGGTTTTAATATGTACCTGCTATCTTAACATTTTTTTAAGTCACTTTGTAAAGATCTGTCAATTATATATTAGTAACCAACAATGCATTAATTTCAATCTTCACATTTTTAAGTAAGAATGCAGCCTAAGAATCTCGTTTGTAAAGGTAATATGTAAGTTTCGGATGGACCCAGAGTGTTCTGTCCATACACAGAAGCGTTTTGAAGTTTTAGAAGGTGTTAGGGACCCCAGCAGCCCCTCTGATCCATGGGTTAATGAGCTGTGCTTTCAGGAATGAGCTCATTGGACAAGCTGGTCAGCGAAAAACACCCCGGGGGGAGCCAGAGACACAGAGCAGGGGCTCACACTGACCATCTCTGCACCGTGAGACCCCCGCAAAATTAAAAACGCCCCCTGGACCGCGCCCCCACCCAGTAGATACCGCCTCCAACATCAAGCACCCCATATACACCGCCTGCTGGACCTGATTCCCAGAGCACTGCATTGACCCCTCCTGCCAGCACCAGCATCCCAAATACTCCCTGGGCCACCTCCCATCACTAAAAGTGAAGCCCCCGTCTGCCTGGCAAGCCACCGTTTACTGAACGTTCTATTTAGAACTCCCAGAGTTACTTCTCTTTCTCTCCAGCAATGAGCTGTGGGACCAACGTGAGGACTGTGTGGACTCTGACATCTGTATCGCTGACCCTGCTGTGGGTGATCCGCCTGACCCTGGGGCTAGACTATGAGTATGGATTGGAGTACTTACTGGAGGACAGCACGGATGACTTTGAGTACAAGGATCCCTGCAAGGCTGGTAGGTTTAGTTAGCATGCCAGTGATCTGATCTCTCTCCAGCTGATCAGTATGGGATGGGGAAGATTGCAAGTTCTATTGTATAGCATGTTGTCATTGAAATGCAAATCAATCACTGCAGAGCTTGCATCTTTATGACTTCTTTATTTCTCACTGTGGACTACTAATAATCAGCTAAGGGCTTCTATCTTTTGTTCTAAGAATTAATCTAATATGTTAATGTATTTTTTTTTTTTTTTAATGAGACGGATTTATTAAAAACAAACAAAACAGTACCCACCGAGGATTATTTTACTTTACGTGTAGTTATGCAAACTCTGTACATACTCATTAATCCTTAAAATGATGGCATGCATGTTAATGAATGAGATCAATCAGTCTCTAGAACATTGGAGTACAGGCAAGAATATTTGGCACAATTTATTTCACATAACAAGTTTGACAGATATCTTGTGTGTGCTTGACATCTCTAATTAGCCAAACAAATAGTTAACCCCATAAGGACCCCTGGTTTTGCCAATTATGTCACATTTTTTTCCAAGGGATTAGTTTCAGAATCTTATTTGATCCATATAGATTGTATCTACAAGAAGCTTTGCTTCTGCAATGTGTTTGCTACCAAAGTCATGTGCCATAACAGTGATCCTTGGCATAGAATGGCACAGCCTTTGGCAAACAGGCAATTCTCAGTGCAAGGTCCTCTAATTTGGTGAGAGCGTATTTGTTTCCAGAACTTTGTTTATACTTGACTGCAAGCACATTTGGGTAAGTACTTTAAGTTACTATACGTTTTGTAATGTTTGATCAACAGCGTAAAAACGTGTTTAAAGGTTGAACTCCATGGACTTGAGTCTTTTTTTCAACCTAGATTGCTATGTAACCATTAGACTTGTGCACGCTATAAAATGTTTGTTTCATCTGAACCATATTTCCCCAAAATAGAACATTTTTCAGGGCACCAGAATTTTGGCAATATGTCGGTTTGGCTCGGCAGATTTATTTTGCCAAAAACCATATTCAGAAATGAGCCAGACAAATTAAAAATGGCGCAAAAATGGGCCAAGCAAGAATATGGAACCAGTAGAGGGAAAAGCAGGAGGAACAGTACAAAAAAAAATAATATATTTTTATATATGGTAAATTTATTAAATATGTAATATGTAAATATAGATTGTTTTACTGCTCCTTTCTCGCTCCCTTCCCACTTGATCTCTGAATACACTTAGCATTTCTTGACTGTCCCCTAGCCAATATTCGTTGTTTTTTTTTCACTGATCATTTCTTTTTGGTACCATGGGCTTAATTCAGAATCACATCTCAAAGCGAACATGTTCACCATTGCCCAACGCATTTCATCTATCACCTGAACAGCTCTATGCGGTCCAGACCAACATGAATCTTCAAGTATAGTAACCACGATTGTGCCTTTATTGTGATTATATTATTGAAGAAAGGTATATATCTACACATAATGTGTGATTGATGATTCGGAATAGTATGTGTTTATTCACTAAACAGTAAATTGTAATGAACTGAAAAGCTTAATTGCAAAATTTAGCCCAAAGGTAGCTTTTGAAAGCTTCTCCAATTCCAATGTTTAATTATTCAACGCACTGCAAATAAATATTTAATAATTAAAACCCCAAATCTGTGCTTTGTAAGAGACATTGCAAGCCAGGATAATTAGTGCAACTCTAGAATTAAAGGAGCTGATGATCAGTATTTTCCCGTAATGACCACTGTTGAATCATTTAGACTAAAAATTATTTTGAGGGGGGTGATGGTAGAATTTCTTGTATGTGGTGTCTCGGCTTGTCAGAATTTTATCAGTCGAAAAAGACCTCGAAAAACGAATTGCACAAACAAAAAGGGCGCAACAATGGGCTACTGCAAAATATGTAGATAAATATAA